TTCCCGTTTTTCTAAAGCTTGGTGTCGGGTACTACTAAGATTAACAAGTTTTAGTAATATTTAATGTGATAGCAACTCATACTTAACTATAGCTATATTTGAAGTAACACCAGTTTGCGTTTGAAGCATAAACAATTCAATTTAGTAACAAGTAAAAAAAAAATGACTAGAATAAAATCATCTCTATTCCTGCTACGAAAAAAATTGCATAAGTGTTTATGTTGTAATATTTAATTTGTGATAAAAACAGGAGTGCTAATTGCCAATAGCACATGTAAAAAGTGTTTTTTGTCTAGATAGATTATATAAATACATATGGTTATATTTCAAAATTAGTCAGTTTCTTCAGTAAACCAAGGTTAGATCAAGATTCGACAATTTACAAATAATTTTCAGAACTCACCTGTGCGGAATAATCAGTCAATTATTAACCACAGTATTTATTTTGTAATTTCGCTCCATGACAAATCTTGTCTGACGTTTCGACCTCGTCGTCAGCCTGGTTAAAATAAAGGTATGAAATGATCGCATTAATCCCGTATTAACACCTTTAATTGTATATCTATAAACTACCAATAATAATATCCTAGTGATGATGTTTATATTCAAGTAAGCACTCTCATAATAAATGTATACGAAAGGGGAACTCAGTGCAGTCACATTTGTGGTTAGGTCCAACCTGCAATAGTGTACATGCAATAAAAGCTACGTCGAACACACACGGCGACAGTGTTAGGACTCAATCCATGCAATTGCTGCAAATCCTGACACAGTTCAACCGCATCTATACTACTCTACACTAGAGCTCGCCTGATGGTCGGATTGCAACCACAACTCAATAAATTGTGACTTTTTTGTGATTTTTTTTGAGTACAACTGTCAAATTAATAAATTGATAGTTGTACTCTTGAACTGTCCTTGTTTAGACTCACTTCACAAATACATATATTGCACCTCTGGAATTTTTTGCACTGCTCAAATGCTTTTATTTAACTATCTTGAATGTCACCATGTACAACTTGTATGTATCTTATTGGGACTATAACTGTGATATGGTATAGTAAATTGATAGTCATTGAAAATTTATAGGTGATATACCGCTTCCATATAAACACCTATTATAAAATAAATATCCCATCCCCATCACTTGGATAGTTGAAAATCTACGTTATTTATTCTACTTTAGTACTAGATGAAAAATTAATTTACAATAAATTACAATACAAATTTTGTAATATAGCTGCTAAACCAATATGTATTTATAAAATCTATCTAAACTCTGTTCCAAAAATAACGGGTCAGTCACATAAACCCGAATATCTCCCGAACTACGTATGCCATCCTAATGAAACGAAAACTGTTCAATTGAGAATTTAATTATACAGATAAAAAATAAAATAAAACTTAAATCTAAACTCTGTAACTCTTAACTTATCTCTAAATTAAAAAAAAAACTAAAGTAGTCATATTTTTCTTAAGATTACATTTTTTTATGATTGTTTTTTTGCTGTTTTTCATCACTTTCTTCATTTAATACTTTGTATTGCCTTCACGAGCTCTTCTGACAGCTTCCAGGCGATTAGGCATGCTGTACACCAAATTTCGGAGCCAGTGCTGAGGAATACCTTCCCATTCCTCCACCAGTGCTTGTTTGAGCTCGGGAAGCGTGATTGGTGGGGGGTTTCGACCTTTCACGCATCTCTGAAGCTCGTCCCAGGCGTGCTCGATGGGGTTTAAGTCCGGGCTTCGCGCTGGCCACTGCATGAGTTCGATACCGACCTCTTCAAGGTAGTCATGTACAATTCTGGCGGTATGGGGACGCGCATTATCATGCATTAATATGCCATGCCGGTCCATCCTGGCCATGAAAGGACCTACATGTTCATTGAGGATCTCTTCCACGTACCTCTCTGCATTTAGAGTTCCATTTTGAATGAGTACCAGCTCGGTGCGGGCCTCAGTAGAAATCCCAGCCCAAACTTGTACGGAGCCTCCACCGTACGCCACTTTTTCCTCCACACACGCTTGATGGAAGCGCTCCCCTGGTCTTCTATACACCAACTGCCTACCATCATGCTTATAAAGCATGAATTTGGACTCGTCCGTGAACATTACCCTAGACCAATCGTCTAGTGTCCAGTTTAGGTGTTCGCGCACGTATCTCTGTCTTGCAATTCGATGTCCCCGTTCCAGTTTGGGGCCATTTGCGGGCCTCAATGGTTTCAAATTTGCTTCAGCAAGACGTCTTCTTACTGTTTGAGCGCTTAAATTGCCACCTCCAAAGCGAATAAAGTGAGTTTTTAGACCAACAGCAGTTTGAAAACGATTTCGGAGCATTGTAGCCACCAGTTGTCTGTCTTCCCTGGCCGTTGTGCATCTTGGTCTGCCATTTCCTGGTCTTCTAAGGTGTGATCCGGTCTCTTGGTACAGTCGACAAAGATACACCAATGTTTCTGGCTGGCTCCGCCCAAGTTCCAAAAAAGTTAGGATTCTGGTACATTCCTCTAGCGTGACTGCCATGCTTCACCTCACAGAATAATAATTATGCACGTGGAAGACGTTCACGATAAAAAAAATTGTGACAGAATAGAAATGGAAAGCATCTATAATGAAATGAAACAAAAAAATTGTTTTTAAAATAGTCATTTTTTTTAATTTTATTTTTTTGAAGTTTTTTTCATCAACCAGTTTAAATAATATGCTATTAGAAGCAAAACTAAAAAGGTCTTTATTCTGTTTTTTATTTCATTGATCTAACTTTTACAGTTCTGGAGGTATTTCAATTTTGTGACTGACCCGTAATTTTTGGAACCGAGTGTAGACAAAAATATTTTTTACATGTTCTATTGTAAATTCTCCTCCTGAACTCCTGTTTTAATCACAAATTTCGTATTATGAAATAAACACTTATTTAACTTTTTTTCGTAGCATGAATAGAGATGATTTTACACGCTGAATTGACAATTTCTTTTGGCTAGTTACTGAACTGAATTGTTTGTGCTTCAAACGCAAACTGGTGTTACTTCAAATATAGGTATAGTTAAGTATGAGTTGCTATCACATTAAATGTTACTAAAACTTGTTAATCTTAGTAGTACCCGACACTAAGCTTTAGAAAAAGGGGTAAGTGGAAAAGTCAAAGAAAATACAAACCGAACTTTGAACTTAATTTCAAAATAAAAATTAATCTGAACTATATTCCCTTCAGCAAAATTCACGTCTCTTTCTTATTATAAAATTCCGTTGAAAATAAACGGTGGTCTTAAAATATAGTTATATTACCCTAGAGGCAGCCCGGCAGGCAAATTAGGTAGCAAATTAAATCATCGCCGCTCACCCGCTCCGATCTGTGCTTAATACAATAAAATGTTAACCTTTCTGTTCGACGTTAATGGAGTTGACAGTTTTACGTTACAAACCCTCCCTTCTCCTTCAGGCTTTTAAGTTCATCACTGGTTTACTGGAGGCCATGAATAATCTTAATAAATGTTTTTCATTTGTATGCTGTAATATACACCGTGTTGATAAAGAGTGTAGTTGTATTTTTTGGTGGGCAACATTCCTCTCGTTATTCTGGAAGCTTTGGGAGTGATTTTATTAAAAGAGCCGAAGTACACCCATACCATAAAAAAAATTTAATCACATCCTCACGAAAAACGTGATTTTTTATTATGGTATATGGAGGCAATGAGCGAGGTGGGTCTTCTGATGCGTCCTTTGAGTCTCCCCCAGAAGTAGGGGGAGAGAGGGGTCCGGTAACCACACTGACTTGGAATTTAAGCAATTCTTTCGTATCTTTTTACCGATGGAACACCAGTTTTCTGTAAAGCCTGTGGTATCACACCGGTTGAGGATGCAAATTTGCCAACGGGAAATTGAATGTTTTGTCAAATTATGTAAATTCGAATAAATACTGACGTATAGGTGTTTCTTATTTGGTTTTATACTTTCTACGACAAACTGCATTCATCATAGATGTGTAAATCGGGACTCAAACGTGATGAAGTACAGTATTGTTTTGGTCACCTGACATTTCGACCGAATAGTACCGATCTTTGTGATAAGTTGACCACCTCGCGTTCACAGCAATCCTTAAACATGACCTTACCTTGGTGTACAAATATATGTTATGTAAACGTAGGTCCAAACACGGACAAAATGTAATACGTACGAGTAGGTATAGATTTATATATTATAGTGTGTCCAACGTATTTACAATTGATCCATCGAAACCAACGGCCCTTCCGAATGGACGCGCGAACATAATTACATTACATCACGTTAATAAACTTCCTGCAGACTCATTACTGACTGATTGCACAGCGCATTATTGACCTAATTCTATTTTTAGCTAGAAAATATGTATCTATCACACCAAAGATTCGACACATAAAGTGATTATTATTGGGAAGTTGTTACAGGTTATTGATTATTTGGTTTAAAGTTGTAGAAAATTAGTTGCAAATCTGAAAAAACACCGTAATGGTTTTAAAGATTTTAGGCAACAAAGGTCAAAAAGTGCACTTGTTGTACTTGCAAGTTAAATTAATAATATTATGTATAGTAAGTTAAATTAATAATATTATGTGATAACAGTTATATAAATAAACCTTTCTTTCTTTGTTTTGTTATAAATCAAACTAATAAACACTTGTGCTTTTTATAGTATAGGTGGCAAATGAGATGTGGCTGAATCAAGAACTACTAATGTTTGTCCGCCTTTGAACAACGGATCCCCCTTCCCCAACCTCTAAGGAGAGCCTCTGATGACCTCACTCACTCAGTAGAAGTAACTGACCGTTATCCGGTCATTCCGGTTAAGCTTACCATACGTACAAGCTTAGCTTAATTAGTAAACAAATTTGCTTATCCAGTTACTCCACATCCTAGTTATAAATATTATTAATTTAGCACACTACATACAACAAGCAAAATTGCGGTTGAATTATATTTTAGTTCCTATTCAATATACGTAGTACTAGGTAAACCTTACATTTTAGTATAAACCAACGCCTACCATATCAAAACAAAACACTCCACTAAACCCTGACAAACCAAACAACGTCATGGTAAATCAACAAGAAATTGGAGCCGAAATAGACAGAACTCCAATAAAGCTATGTCAGCCTGGTACAAACAATTACGGTCCACTGTTCCCCCACTTGTCATCGGATGCGATAGCGGCCACCGACGACACTTGTTTTGCTCTCAATCATGCACGGGCGGTGGATTAATATAGTCTGATAGAAGTACGCTCTCGCATTTCAAAGATACATTGACGTTGATTGACGTAAACATGAAAAGGTAATTTTGTTACCTCATAATTATAAATATTCCTGTGTTTAGTGAAACAGAAATATTCTTTATATTATTTAGAAACGAACGGTATTCTTTCATTTTTGCATGCAAAACTAGAAAAAGAATTAATAAAATATTTTTAACAGTCGATTACAGTGACCTAGCAAAAAATGTTTTAATTAAAAATTGTTCAGTATTGATTTTTATGATCGAGAATAAAATTAAAATAATTAGAAGGTTTCCAGGGCATGCTAATAACAAAAAACTCTGTAATTACCCTTTTTTTAGTGTGAAAACCCCCTCGGGCCGTCACCCCACCGGGGTTTGCGGCGGGGTACCACTCTGCGCCTGTAATAAGAGAGATCCGAGAACTGCTATTGTTAAGACACCCGGACCCCTCCTTGCGCCTGCCCGCTATGGCGCGAGCATCATCTTCGGATACATTCTCCATTTAGATAACGTCCGGCACACGCAGACGAGGGGAAGACCCGTCCCGTTCACCCGCGGCCAAACTCAGAGCGGCATGAGGCGGTGGTAAGCGCGCCTACGCCACCCGGTTCACAGTCGACGAATTGGGTCCGAGTGGAGGCTGTCCTCACGGGCCCTCCGCCGCCTCCTTGCTAGCGTGTGCTGAGCCGAGTCTTCACAATCGCAGTAATGACAGGCGGGACTCAATGCCGTAACCGCGGGTAACCGCGTATGGCTCTAACCGCCAATATCTTATGAGGGCGCCAGAGGCGTGTCCTATTCTGGGCGGTCAGAGCCGTCGACCACACCGGTGCACCGTACAGTGCCATTGACTTGATAACCCCGGAGTAAAGCCGTCTTATCGCGACGCTGGCTCCACCCAAATCTAGCAAAAATCGCCCTAGGGTAGAAGCAGCGCCGACCAGCTTTGGAGCAAGCTGTCGGAAGTGCTCCCTCTTTAATTACTCCAGCATAGCCGCTCCCAGGCGTTTTTAAGTAGGTTTTAAGATGCTTGAAATTTGAAAATGAAATGCATCTGTGTCATATATTATTAAAAGGTTTTTTTTTGAAAATCGAACACAAAAGGCCATTTCCCACTTTTTCGTCTGCTACAATGGAGCTTAAACGTGAACATTTGCGTGCTTGAACTGCTGTGATATATTACGACTTTGAATGTGGTTTATCTGAAGGTTGAGGCTTAGAACGTTTAAAATCAGCTTAGGGTGAGTCTGCTCCTTCTCGGGAAAGTATTTTAAGATGGCTAAACTGATTTAAAAGGGTGTAAACTAGCCTTGTAGATGATGACAGAAGTGGACCCCCGCCAACAGCAGTCACTGCTGAAAATGTGTAGACTACTCGAGATGATCCACGAATTACATACAGTATTTTTTTCACCATGCAGAGCAGTCGGGTCACCTGATGGAAAGTGACCATCGCCACCCATCAACGTCTGCGCCCATGAGTCGGTTGTTCAAAAATATGTATACCTCACCTGTAGGTGAATAGAATAATTTATCTGAGCTGGGCAGCGTTTGGGAAACTACGTCGATTCTTCACATCGTCGATCCCACAGTGCAGACAAAAGTCTTCAATGAATGCGTCCTACCCGTCATGACATACGGAACCGAAACGTCCACAACCACAAGTTCAAAATCGCTCAGCGTGGTATGGAAAGGGCTATGATCGACGTTTCTTTATGGGATCGCATCAGCAATGAGGTGATCCGGCAGAAAACCAAGGTCATCGACATAGCCCACCGGATCAGCAAGCTGAAGTGGCAGTGGGTTGGCCATATTAGCCGCAGAACCGACAACCATTAGGGCAAACGAGTTCTTAAGTAGAGACCGCGTCTCGGCAAACGCAGTGTAGGACGCCCACAGGCCAGGTGGAGTTACAATTTGCGTAAAATGGCTCGAATCGAAGTGGCGTGCAATATAAGTAGTGCCTATGTCCAGCAGTGGACTGATGATGATGAATATAACTACTTTCAATTGTAAAAAAATATTATAACGTGATTACGTGATCTTTAGTTTGATTTGACCATTGATATACAAATTGTATATCAATGGATTTGACTTGGTCTTGGACTTGGTTTACAACGGTATTTACACATTAATCTGTCTTAAGGTCTGAAACACACGGGATAATTTTTACCACAGAAAAATTGATTGTCTAAAGTAACAGTAAATACGAGTATACACATAACATAGTGCACGAATGGCGTAGTGAATAAAGCGGTCGCCACGCCGCTTACTACTACGCTGAGTGTTGTGGGTCCGAACAAATTGTTGTTCTAAGTCTGGGTGTTATTTGTGTCCGATTTAAGTATTTTTGTAAAGTCCCCAGCGGCACAGGATATATCCCTAATGCGGGAGTTGTCTTTTATTATTACAAATTACAAAATTTAAGTTTAATTAATTTAACGATCCAATAATATAGTTTAAAGAAAAATATTATCCATTTGGTTTTTGTTTTTATATATTTTGAATAAAGAACCACAAAGATGAAAATAAACATATACCTAGCTGGAGTAAGTGAAAAAAACACAGTTAGATATAATGGTATTCATCCGATTGATCTGTATATGTCATTTTCATGTTGATTTTGACAGAGGTCAAAGTAATCCGATTTGAAGGGATAAAGGGCCAGAACCTTTATAATTCGATATCGTTTTCTACAAAACGAGCACAATTGTCAATGATTCGTATCATAACTTTTTAATTTAAGAGTTAAACTATCTCTAAAATGACTAATTTAACTCATCTTAAATGCAGAACGCTTATATCACGATAGTTGATATTTAAGTAAGGAAGAGCCGAGTTGTATGTGCCTAACATATAGGCCGCCTCGACCAAGTGATACCACAGCCTCAGAGAATCGGTGTTAAGTAAGTGAGGAGGCCCCACCTCTCCCTTTTTATTCTAGGGGGGAACTGAAAGGGCGGCAACGCACTTGTATCTCTTGAGCTGCAGGTGTATACCCATATACACCTGCAGCTCAAGAGACACAAGGTAGTCACTTAACCTTCACCCTTATATTGTATACCATAAGAAATCTTGTATGTCTGAATATAGCCCACTTAAGAGGATGTGTAGGCAGTATAACCATATTTGTTCAGGATTGGATTTCTTGAATGATAAATTAATTAACTTTAAAAAAGCCATATATGATAAATTAGCTTAGCGTTTAGTCACCTTTGTTATCATTGTATTCACTTCTTTTAATCTCCATTTGTTTATGTATTTGTCTTCATCTCTAGGAAGCTGTTAACTTTTAAATGATGTGTACAGATATAATAGGATATCAGGTTGATAACATGTATGTTAAAATGCTATTATTTGTGTTACATAATCTGTTGTCTGTTTTTGTACCTGTTTTATAAAATAAAAGAAAAATAAAATAAAATGTGTATGTAACTCTCTACAGAGACTTAACTTTGTATTATAGAGGAGGTCTATTTCGTTGCTCGTGTTGATTACGTAGTAAACAATGACATCACTGTACTTATATCATGGAAATAAAAATACCAAACAAAAAGACGAGAAAACAGAATCATGTTTTATTAAGCCTTGTGATAATGTAATTTTCTTTTTTCAATTTTTTTTGAGCCTAACTGAACGCCATCTAAATATTGACGAGGGGCTTTATTAAACTGCGGATGAACGATCAATCATATTCGTACCATCCATGTGGATAAGTTGATGTACGAGGTACCACGTGAATAATTGACGACTGCACGGATGGCGTAGTGGTTTAAGCGGTCGCCACGCCGCTTCCTACCACGCCGAGTGTTGTGGGTTCAAACCCCACATGGGACGACACTTTGTGTGATCCGCAAATTGTTGTTCTGAGTCTGGGTGTTCTTTGTGTCCGTTTCATGTATGTTTGTAAAGTCCCCCGCGACACAGGATATATTCCTAATGCGGGAGTTGTCTTTTAAAAACAAAAAAAAAAAAAAAAAAAATTGGGATCATTTTTATGTTTGCTACTAGGAAACCAGCTATGGATAGGAGGTGTTTTTTTAAATGTCGATAATAATACAAGAGCAAATCTCGAGAGTTCTAAAGACAGATTTTTAAAGAACGTTTAAATACCTAGCCACAGTGACGGAATATTTAAATTATTATTATTTCATAAAACGGTTAAAATATAATAGTTGTGTAAAAACCGTTGTAAGTAAGTCGTCTTTATCCCCATCTTCATAAAATATTCTGAAACGATACCGTCATTTCAGTAATATTTATTTGTAATTCTATGCATTAATATTCAGGTCGTGTAAGTAATTGTTTTATAAGCGTTTTGTATTTTTTTGTACAAAATTTATAAAGTAAGTACATTTTATAAGTTGGCGATTGTTATTAAAACTAACAATGTCAACTCAGACACAACACTTTTCCTTCGAAATTTGTTGTGTATGTAAGCATCCTACCATCGTGACTTTTTAGTATTTTTGGCTTGCTTATAGGAGAGAGGTGTGACACTAGATCGTAACACAAATTAGCACATTAATCGTTAAAATTAAGTAACCGAATCACTAAATTAAAAATAATCTTTGCAACTCCTAATTTTTTGACCAAAGACCAATGTATCTAACGATACCCCCCACGTCATGGGGAAAAAAATCCTCACTTAACCACACATGTAGAGGGGGGAGTCCAAATTCTTTTTTCATGATTTTTTTACCACCGTGTTATATGCAAGATTTTAGCTTTCTAGAAGTAACCCTCTTGAATGTAAGAAGATGACAAGACGAACGATCAGACAAATGGACATGATTAAACCAGGGTTTCTTTTAAGACTGCGAACCCCTAAAGAAAATACGTCGAAAGAAGCTCGATCGCTAAGAGTCAATTACGTTATGTGCTAGAACTAACACACGAACGTAGAATCTCTATAAGCATATTAGCTTAGCAGAAAGTTGAATTAACCAATAACTGATTGACAACTTTCAAATCATGCGATTTTGATTTTCTTTTGACCAAACATTTTTTTTTTTGGTGAGACAACTCCCGCATTAAGAATACATCCTGTGTCGCGGAGGACTTTACAAACATACATGAAACGGACACAAAGAACACCCAGACTCAGAACAACAATTTGTGGATCACACAAAGTGTTGTCCCATGTGGGGATCGGACCCACAACACTCAGCCTTATTACCAAGTTTATAGGCTAGATGGCTTAAATAACAAAGTATTTAAATTCTCAAGTTTGTAGGGAATAAATACCAACTACCGCACCGTTGAGAGCTTATCTTAAAGCAATATTGATTTATAGTAAAAATACCTTTCCGTTTACCGATAAAATAAATACAACCTCTTTGAAACGAGTATTCGTCTTGTTATTTTTATTACAACTTAAATAAAAACGTCTTTCTTGTGCTTTCATTTCATTACATATTTCAAACCTCGGAGCTATAGGGTCAGTTTATTTTTAATATTTTATAGAAAAAATGTTAGCTTAAATATTGAGTAGAACACGACGCAGTGATTATTTTGGAGATGAACTAAAACATGACATGTTCTACACATCTTTTTTATTTTTTGACAACTACCGCACTAGGAATACCTACTTTCTGTGTCACGGAGACTTTGCAAACATTCATTCAAACTGACACAAAGAACACCCAGACTCAGAACAACAATTTGTGGATCACACAAAGTGTTGTCCCATGTGGGGATTGAATCACCAACACTCAGCGCCATCCCTATGGCGCTGAGTGTTGGTGAAACAGTGCAAACAGCTTAAATAACTACGCTATCCGTGCAGTAAACTATCTTCTAAATCTAGTTTAAAATTAACCTGCGACTTTACTTAAACTTCTTTCTAGAAAAGCGAGAACAAATCATGACTCTTTCTTATACTCATCTTCCTGACTACTGTAAGGGCCATGATAACTAAGGAGGATTACAACTAACCCTAGCAGAGGACTGGGCCAGATCTGCCTTCGAACGACTGCAGTGAGGGCGAGCCCACCTCTACCAAATCCTTTTTTAACTAAAAAAGGATGTTTCTTAACTCGTCCGTGTGTTTTTTGATGTTTGTCTCCTTGGAACTACCGTCATTTTTCCTTAGAAAAGTCTGATGTGTATACCGCCTATTTGAACCCAGTCAAATTTATAGGAAAAATACCACCTGTAAGGGAACATTAAATAATGAAAAATACAGTTCATTACATTTTATTTTAATGTAGGTATTAAAGTCGGGCTTATTTTTTAAAGTTCATTATTTCACTGAGCTTCAATAATAATAATACCCTGTAATAAGAGCCTGCCTGTATACAAGTGTGAGTGATCCTTTTTGACGAGCCTATTAAAATAAAATATAAACATGTTAACTTTACTTATAAATTTACACACTTCAATAAATAAGTGGACTGGGTCACGCGGAATGATCAGACGTATCTCGGTTTTGCCGTATCTGCTCATTCCTCCTGACTTCTCAGATCTTACTAAAGCACGAAATTGATTTTAATAAACCACTGCACAAATTATATGCTTGATAGGATGATTAGTGCCGAAGTAGGTACAGTTAGTAGTACAAAGATTAGTCTTGCAAATTCTAATATATTTCTTTAAATAAATAAATCAGGTCTTAATAAATGACTTATATTCCTCGCTGTGCGTTGGTCGATCAGTCAGTGAATCAGTCTGTCAATTTCTTCTTTTATAGAAACTGATTTAAACATCATCAAACTCGTAAGTACATTTATCAAGGTATTTAAAATTACGCTCACAGATACTTTACCTATAATTTTAAATTGTTAATTTCAAAAATACAAAAAGAAAATGTTAAAACCAACTATGTATTTAAAATTACTTAAAATCATAGCTCAAATTTAACGATGAAAGCGTTCACTTTATCAAAATTAAATCACAAAATAGAAAGAGTTTAGTCATGGAAACGTGTTTCGAACAGCAAAACAGGTTTCAATTAAAAAGGATGTTGACAAATTCTCGACATCGTTTTTATTTTATAGCTGGACTCTTTTATGTCACATGAAAATAAAAACATAAATTTTATGCAAATACTTCATTATTAACACTAAAGACCAAAAATATCGTTTACTTTCACAATATTCCCCTTTTTCCTAATGAATTTGATTATATTGTTTTCGAGATAACGACAGTAGGTACTCCATTAAGTACAATAAGTAGAAAATATATATTTTAATGCCAATCAGTCATTCGCATTCTTATCAGTTTATTACGTAATAGGACTATTTTAACAATTACTATTTAAGCCTTTTTAATCAATTTCATTTCAAATACGTAAATCAAACAAATGTTAACTTAACTTTGTCCTTACTAGAAATAATACAGATACCCACATTTTACAGAACTTTTGTCTTCCCTATACAGGACTTGTATAATATCACAAAAATAAAAAAATAATTTAAGCCATTCATTATTATCTAATGGGGGGCTATGTCCAGCAGTGGACTGCGATAGGCTAATGATGATGTCAATTATAAGGTTTAGGCCTTTGTTTACCTATGCTTATGTCTATTTATTTCACCTGGGTGATATCACCTAGGTGAAATTCTTCCAAGGTGAAATGAGGAAACCAAAAAATCTACTTTATTCACCCGGGTGATATCACCCAGGTGAACATAGTGGAATAAACCATTCAAAAGAAGGCGACAATCTATTAAAGCAAAATTTCAAACCCTCAGGTGGGAAGAACATCTCTCCACGTCACCTGCGAAGCCGGTCACTCCGCGACTGCTGCCGTCCTAATCGTAAAAGGAGCCTCAAAAGAAGCCAGAGACAATTCCGGGCGTACACCACTCCACCTCGCAGCAGTTCATCGCCATACGGAACTAGTACAAGTTCTTCTTGATGCTGAATGTCAAGTCGATGCCGTTGATAACGTAAGTTTAATAATTGCCTGGTACCTTGGTCTAGTGTCTCAATTGTTTTTTTCATAGTGTAGGGGGCAAACGAGCAGACGGGTAACTTGATAGTAAGTGACTTCCGCCACCTAAAGACACCTGCAACTTAAGAGTCACAAGTGCCCTCCCACCCTTTGAGTTTCCCCCCGCCCCCCAGATTCAGGATGTCTACGCACTAATCAACGCACGTGTAAATGACGTGATATGTGTTCCGCCAATGCGAGACGTTTATTGTGAGACGGACCAGTTTTCTATGAGGATTCTTTTCTGTGAGTTTTCTGGGGTCACTCTGGTCGAGCCGGCCCATTTGTGCCGAAACATATCTCTACCACGGCCACTGAAAATTATCAGAACTTAGAAACGCGCCATTTTTTTAAATAGCCATGGCTATTTGGCCGAGCCAGAATTTAAGTCACAGAAGATCTGTACTCGTAACCTAGAAAGTGTCTGCACAAAAATGTATAAGTACTCATACGTATCGTATATATACGTTTTTTATTCCCGAAGAGGCAGGTATTTGAATAATGATAACATTCTAAAAGTTAGACCTACTAAGTAATTTTGCTTCTCTACAATGTTAAGATAAATTTAATTTGCAGAATGGTGTTACTGCTTTGCAAATGGCTTGCGCCCAGGGCTGTCGAGGCATTGTGGAGCATCTTCTTGCATTTGGCGCCAACGTTCATCTACAAAACAATGTAAGTTGTAGTTTTTTTACCTTTTAAACAATAATCATTAATGGTTGCCATACATGATTGATAGAGACAATACCCTTTTTTTTTTCGTGCGGAAATCCCCTCGGATACCACCTATCGGTGGCATATCGGACTTGAACCGACTAAAACCGCACGCCGTCTCGGGTACTAATAGCCGGGTAACCACGTATACCCTAGAAAGGAAGTCCCTGGTGCAGAGACAATACCCTACGTGATTCGAAAACTACATACGTTATTTCATTCAAACTCCTACGTGATACAATTTCAGTAAGAAATCTAAACTATATACTTCTTCCTTATGGGTGTTTTGTCTTCAAATTTGAATGTGTCCAAACGGGAAGGCCTATGTCCAGCAGTGGACTGCGATAGGCTGATGATGATGATGATGAAACGGCTATGTACCCTCCTAAATTAAAAAGGATTTTTCAACGAGATTTTAAGGATTTAAAAAATTCATTATCGGCGAGTAACATAGGCTCCTTTTTACCGCAATAACCGACATACACGCACGCAACGCCTGTGGTTTAAGCGTAGTGGTATGGCGTAGTGGTCGCCACGCCGCTTCCTACTGCGCTGATTGTAGTGGGTTCGATCCCCTCATGGGAGACTACTTTGTGTGATCCACATTGTTCTGAGTCTGGGTCTTCTTTCTGTCCGTTTCATGTATGTTTGTAAAGTCCCCCGCGACACAGGATACATATTAAAGAAGAAAAAGAAAAACTATATATTAATTAGAAAAACCTTTCACAATGTGTCATAATTGTAAAGAATCCATTCCATTAAGACCCTAATACGAATCTTTGAAATACTCCTATTTACAGCCTTTGTATACGAGGACCAAAGGAATACTGAGAGGTAGAATCCTATGTAGTTTGTCCAATCAAGTCAGCCATGAATAGGATTACCTTCCAGAATGAATTCATAACAAAGGCAGCCACATCGCCGGCATACAATGTATTATAGTGGTACTATTCGGTTTCAGTTAGTTTTGTTTCTATTAACTCAAAATGCTACCTTTACAAATTAAATTTTATAAGCTAAGTATAGTTATGTAAACATTTACGCCAGAGGTCGTGGGTTCGATTCCCACCCAGGACAAATAATTGTGTGATGAGCACGGTCATTTGTTCTGCGTCTGGGTGTAATTTATCTATAATATGTATGTTTTTAGAAATATATAAGTATGTGTATCAGCAGTCATACCATAGTACAGGCTCTGCCTAGTTTGGGATCAGACAGCCGTGTGTGAGATATGTGGGGTCATTATTATTATTAAAAGTTTTAAACGACATTTAGCGAGCCTGTTGGTTTAGAGGTTAATGACCCTGACTGCTGGGTCGTGGCTTCGACTTCCACCCAGGACAAATTAATCGTTTAATGAGCACGATCATTTGTTCTGTGTCTGTGTGTAATATAACTATCATCATTATCAACAGCCTTTAAAAAGTCCACTGCTGGACAAAGGCCTCTCCTTGAGGAGGAGGTTTTGACCTCCAATACCATGCTGGTTAGTCGGGTTTGTAGAGGGTTTGTTTCAAGTTTTCCTTCTCTTTACAGTGCTGTTGTCATGCGTAGTTTGCTCCCTTAGTCGGCTCTTACGACACAGAAATATTGAACTATGGTTATCAGCAGCCTGGTTACTAGCATAGGCATAGCCTACTTTGGGAACAGACTGCCGTGTGTGAGATGTGTGAAGTTATTGTTATTATTATTAGCACACTATATATTAAAATAACAAGAAATATATACTTTCTTAACCAGTCCACATCCACCATAGAAAGCAAATACCGAAACTAAACTCATGTCGGCTCATACGTATTAGTACTATGAAAAACACAAAGTTACAACTTTCTTTTAAAATAAAAATTCTCTAACCGTTTCTATTTCACAGTATCACATGTGCCAATTAATTTTAAATCGGTTGCTTAGATATAAAGATAGAAAATATTGTACTGCTCATTTTAATAAATAAACTAAAAACATTTAAGAAGGATAAAATGCAATGAAACCACAAAGAGTTTATTTGATACTAAAGTAGCAAACTAACCCACGACCCACGTGATAATGAACGAGCTCTGGATGGTAGACCATATTTATGACCCTAGTCGCAAAAGGAACCAATATGCAAAAAGTTGTTCTGAAAGTATCCGCCTCGGACTGCGCTCCTCACACTACAAGTAAACACTACCGACTACAATACACGTGAATATCACGTGAAATCTTTATATTTTTGTAAAACATTTCATTGGGCATATTAGAAACAAAGAAAACAACCAGAATGCACAGTCTAACAATAAAAAAACCACTAGCTTTTCAGCGGGACTTCGTTTGAGTAAACATAGATTTTTAAAACTCGGGTACAGATATCTTCTGAATTCAATGGACCCTGTGTATAAAACATAGGATCAGGGTAACAACGAGTATGCAAAATAATGATCGGCTAAATAATTAAAGTGTAAAAGTATAAAAAAACAGTCACTTTTGTATTTGTACTATTAGTTAGATAATCCGACCAGCATCACTTGAACATGATTGTACAAACATTTGTTCTATGGTAGGTCAACATATAACATTTATTGCTTTAAAACGTTATCTTTATGCATTTCTTCAACTTACTAACATTAATTATTCAATATTATATAATATCCTTCCGTGGAAATTATTTATACGCGTTTTAAAAAATATATAACATTGTTTAAAAACGGGTACACAGAATTTCCTTTACATATAAATTTACCTTCTTGTAGTCTAGTATTTACAGTGAACGTATGTAAAGGTTTTAAAAAAAATATAAATGTATTTCTGTGTATTTATATGTACATGTATTTTTTTATGTATATGTGTAACTGTATATTATGTAGCTTTATGTCAGTTTTATATATTTATTGATAAATAAAATTAAAACCATTTACTACAACTGTAAACTCGGTAAAACACTTACCTTACAAGATTTCTAAACCACCCAAATGTTGGCTGGTAGAGAATTTCCAGGGCATTATGTCTACCGATGTACGTAAATGCATAAAATTGTTTAAATGAATATAATAATATACAGAGACTGTCCCTAGGTTGGGTCTTCAGCACTACATGCAGCTTGCGCAGCAGATGCTAACGACATCGTAGAACTCCTCCTAGCACACGGCGCCGATCCTGCCATGACAGATCAGGTAAAAATTTGTAAAATTTCTCAAAAATAAGTTGCAAAAAGATATCACATAGGGGACACCCGGGTTTGAACCGGGGACCTCTCGATCTGCAGTCGAATGCTCTACCACTGAGCTATATCCCCAGTTGATCGACTAAGCTTAAACAAAGTATTACTTTGTTTGTACATCCTCCTACATTAAAATGACGTCATGAAAAAGCCATGCTGATAAGGCCATATTGTCTACCCACTGATAAATTTGTTACTAAATTATATCGTTCCTATTCAGACAATGACTCACTAAGTGTTATTTTAGCTTAATAAAGCATATCTGCCGTGTATGTTAATAGGTATGAGAATCGAGATTGCTACGTCAGTGAATTTTTATGTGATACTATTTTTTTTTTCATAATATACATATAATGGAAGCATTTATACTGTAAGGCTTTTAATTGCTATAGCAATCATTTTTCTATATTGACAAGTGTTTATTTATACCAATGTTATTATGTACCTACCTATCATCATCATCATCAAAAGCTTTTAATAGTCCATTGCTGGATATCGGCCTCTACTTAGAAAGGAGGTTTTGGCCTACTATACCACGCTGGCCAGACGGGTTGGTACCGGGTTTGTTTCAAGTGTTCCTTCTCTTTGCAGTGCTAGCTACCTATCATACTATACATTTAGATGCCGCGGTTTCAAGCTGCTTTTGACGATAAGACTGATATGTATATGGATCTTACTATAACCAGTTTTTAAATGTGAAATATAAATCAAACTTTCATTCTTTTAATGAAAATCTCTTACTAGCGGGAGCGCTTTATGATTTAAGATGAGAAAAAAAATTTACTGGAACCATAGTCATTTATTGTGTGTATATTAATCCCAAACTAGGCAGAGCCTGTACTATGGTAACCAGAATACTGATAAATATACAGACTAATGTATTTTTAAACATAAACTTACGTATTATGAACTACCTTTTACCTGCGGTATCGCTCCTGACTGCCAGGCAGAGGTCGTGGCTTCGATTTCCACCCAGAACAAGTAATTGTGTGATGAGAGCAATAATTTTTTCTGTGTCTGGTTGTAACTCACCTATAATAACTATGTATTTAGAAATATATAAGTAAGTCTGAGCTCGAATGAGGCAGAGCATCGGTTATGGTAACCAGAGATTTGTAACATCTGGTAATTGCTACTACTCATAAAACTTACGCATGAACATCTGGTATTCACGTATGATGGTCGAGAGCCTGCAGGCTTATTTAAATTTTACAGGTTCGACCTCGGGGCGTGAGACGTAAAAACATCGTTTGCGCTCTAAAAATAAGCCAAATATGTAACTTTGTCTAAAAATATTTTCAGTATTGCAACCAATTTCCATCGACATTTTATAATACAGCTCATAAGATTTGAGTTGCAGACTGCGCGGTACACGGGTGTGTGAGTTCTTCGTTAAAATAAACTTATTTGCGTAATTCAACTTAATAATTTCCATAACTTACGTAACCTATGTTAATATTTGCTTTTAAACCTTCGAATTTATATTTCAAAAAATCTTGTCTTCTGTGGGGCACTCATACATCTGTATGTGTTCACTTTTAATTTATTTTTCAATCTATTGTACATTATAGTAGGGAAGCCCATGATGCTTAATGGGGTTTTACTCGAGCGTCATGGGGACCTATTGAAATTGAAAGATTAGGTAATAGAATAAATAAAAGTCTTATAGTGTATCCACTTTCAGCGGTGGGAAAAGCTTCTACAGGTTTTCAAAAATATAAGGGGAGTAAATAAAAAAAAGCTATTCGGGCCCATCAGGTAGATTGGAACAAAATGCCTAAGTCATTAAGTCCACCTTTATTCTTTTTATTTTAGTATCATATAAAGAACCCTCATTAATTAAAAATGTCGTCACTACACATTGTTATAAAAATTTATATATTCATATTTGGCCGCTTCGTGTACCAGGCAAACATAAAACGGCAACACGTCGCAGTCGATTACTAGCAATCACAAAGTATGACCGTACATAGCGATGAAATTTGAATGTACAAAATATTTCATTCAAGCGGTATATCATGAATTATTATAAGTTATGATTCGGAATAATAATCCTTGTGATGTTCAGTTCGGTTATATAATAGTATGTCACTTATGGAACAGAGTGCCGTATTCTGACACAAGTGTAATGAGTAGTAATTGATTAAGTTGCAAGATTTATTACCTATATATAAGGGAAAGGCAGTACAAATGCTAAATCGAGCTAGAAACAAACAAAGACATAATCATACCATCTCTTTCTTAAAGTCATATAGGACTCAAATCTGAAATGGTCTGATGTACCAGAGATGGATAAAACACGATTCGGATGTAATATCAAAATTGTCTCTACAAAGTCAGAGGACTTTCCGGCCATAGCCGGTTTGAGTTAAATATAATATGCGACCTTTGCGACTTTGGCGCATTTTAATCATTATTCACTAGTTTTTTTACTTTTGTCAACTTTAATCATCAGTATAACTTAAATTGTCATTTTATGAACTTATATACTAAGACATGTAACCATGTTTTTTTTACTGTTGTAGCTGTTTTTAAGTATCATTTAAATCTGTAACACATATAAAAATAGTTTTCTGAACTTTTTCTAAACATACTCGTACATATAATTTTCTTATAAATCTTCATTATATTCTCGTCATGTATGAAAGTTTATAAACAGAAGCAATATCTTTTTCATCCATTGCGTCCACATGTTGTTTACCTGTCCCTATTAATATATCGTATGTTAGATTTGCTCCCTATTATGTGTGGGTAAAAAATTGTTCTTGGCCAAATCTAGGTATTTTGTAAGTTTCTGCCTTCCCATTGAGGGCTACAGACGAGAGTTTATAATGCCCTATTTTGTTAGATTCGTGTTTTTGATATCTTAGGGCTGTTGCAGGTCCCACATTTTTGCACAACTGAATTAGTGAATATTATGACCCAAAAACCCTCTATTTTTTATTTTATTTTTCTGCTGCTGACTATTAAATTACTCAGAATCCATTAGCTTTCTAACATACAAACATATGTACATAAGTACGAGGCTCATTGTATCAATTAGTGAGCTTTTTCCGTTACGCTTCTGCTCTTTTACACATTTCATTTACTTTCAATTAAAGTTTTTCACTTGGCATTTGGAACGAATCGTCGAAAGTTTTATATTTAATATTTTTCAAACTCTTAAGCACAAAAAGTATTTCTCATATATACATATACGGTAGTGTTATTGATAGAATTGTTTATTTTGAATATTTATCTAAATTTATTTGAAGTACTAATAAAAATTAAACAAGCATTTGATACGAAATGCCTAAGTCAAAAAAATTAGAAAGAGACTGAATGTTTTTGGATAAAATGCTATAAAGCATAAAAGACAATCTCTTCTCTCTTCTCTTCTTGAAAATCTTTATACCGAATTCTTCGTAAGTCTCGTCTCGATTTCTTTTGGGTCGAAAATTGTGTTACAAACGTCGCTACCGCTAATGGCAGGACATATACGGTAGTGTTATTGATAGAATTGTGTGTATTTATCTGAATTTATTAGAAGTACTAATAAAAATTAAACATTGATACGAAATGCTTAAGTCAAAAAAATTAGAAAGAGACTGACTGTTTTTGGATAAAATGCTATAAAGCATAAAAGACAATCTCTTCTCTCTTCTCTTCTTGAAAATCTTTATTAATTAAAAAAAGCACTAATATTCTATAGTTTTTGCCAATATTGAAGATTTTTTTTGTAAAACCTTTTCCAGTGCCTCAAATACATCTTGATAAATTGAATACCAATATTAATTTTACAGCAGTTTATGTAGAAATATCTCAATAGTTTGAGATAGCAATGTGATCACCGTGGACCACGCTGTCCGATAGAAAAAAGACACCAAAGTTTATTTCATGATTCCTGAAATGCTCATATCGTAGGTATTTTAAAGTAATATCTAAACTAATAAAAAAGGAATGGAAAAAGAAATGCGAAAAAAAAAGGAAAATATATTTCAATCGATAAATTAATATTCAAACAGTGTAATCGATAATGAATCTTTATGTTTCTTTTGCCTTGTCAATGACAAATTGATTGACTACTGTCACTGTCAGTCAGTGACACTTACGAATGCCATTGTGTTTGTTTTCCTGCGATTATTTTACGTTTTATGCTATTTTCCTTTATTATGTACCTATGTGACAAATTATATTACAGCGTTATTAGTAATTAATAAAAAAATGTTTTAGTATGATATTAACACAGGAACTTATATTTTTCTATGAATTTTAGTATTTATAATTCAAACAATTTAAAAGTTATCCTAATAACTTGGTTAAATTGTTTGAATTACCTACCTACCTACTAGTTATCAACTCAAATAAAAACTCATATAATTATGCTACTATAATAAGGTTTCAAATGGCACACATTTTATACCTATACAAAGAACTTTGTATCAGTACCAGAGCTCCTTTGAAAGTGGTTGTTCTCCTTTACATAATATTTTGGCCGTATAGCTGGCGTTACTCAGAATCGGCCAACTTCCCCTGAATTATTGAAGCGGACTACCTCCGTGCCGGCTCTCAACTCCTAGTACATTCACTGCTATTGCATAATACAACTTGCCAACTGTACGCCGCGTACATATGTAGGTGGTAGTGATGACAACGCGGCAAGGGAGAAACAAACTGAATAAGGGGTAGCCTATTGTAAATGTAATTTGATGAGACAATGTTCCTCTTTGTGATGTTTACTTTAGAATTCACATTTGTAAAGCTTACATTGAATGCGGGCAAGGTTATAGAAACACAGAGTCACTTTACAGCGCATACTTAAGAAAAGTTTTCTGTATAGTTACTGCTTTCTTGGGAAAATTGTAGCTTTCGGGAATGGTAGCAATTGTTAAAGAGACATCATAATATGTTCTTCGAGTTCTAAATTTAAATTTTTGACGTATCTAAATAAGTACACTACCATAATTGCTTAGT